GGTTTCAGGGAGAAGTAGTAAAAACACTTAGTCAACACTACTCATGTTTGTCTTAATAATTTAACCAAATGTTTTACCAGAAAATGCAGTTTTGTAATGAAGTTCCTCCACTCCCCGAGTTAAATATGAACTAGCTCAAGAGAGGAAATCCACGTGGAAGGCAATTTGTTCTTGTGTGTGCTTCTGTGTGTTACATTCCCACAGTAACTTAACGAGTGGACATTATTTTTGAAGCTTTTGTATTATTCAGAGAGCTGACAGAGGAAGAGGGAGACACAGAGAACAGTGGACCCTTTCCTATCTGTCTTCACTCACTGGTGAACCAACTTATGTATCTGCTGCAGAAACAAGCCCACCCTTTTTTTGGTCGGGGAGAGAGTTTCTGTACGTCCGAATGATTGTAGACCTGTGGTGTCCCTATTAAAGCTTGTCGAGAAGGTATTAGAGGATTTTTCGGGTGTGTCTGTGCTGTCAATGCCCCGTGGAACTGTGTGAAAAAGCACAGTGGGTCTGCAAGTTCAGCTCAGATACTGAGAGATTGCCCTTGACCAGTTTCTGGGTCCTTTCTTGTTGATCTGTGGGCATATTCAAAAATGAGAATAGGGATGTGTTTTTTTACCCGTTAATAATCTGAAAAGTCCATTAGATCCTGCATGTCTTAGAAAAAGCTGTACCTATTCGCAGATTTGACCAGTGAGCCGAGTAACAGACAGCAACAGACAGCCTACAAGAGATGTCAAACAGCGACTTTCACACATCTTAAAATACACAGAGCAGACTCTACAGAGCTGAGTCGTTCTGCTCGCAGACTGACAGTGCTGAGTCAGCACATCTCCAAGCTCTCTAGCTGTCAGTGTCCATCCTTGTCTCTGTCTCAGAGTCTCTGACTCTCAGCTCCGCACTGTGCTTTCTCTGCTCGGCCTGATGGGGAAACATTGAAAGTTTAGCCTCCATATATCTACTTGACTGCCTCAAGGCTACTCTGCTTCTCTTTCTGACTCGCTCACCCTTCATCCCTTTTTCCATCTCTAATCATTCCCTCTTCTGTGCAGCTTGTGTGAGTTGAGGTCTGACAGCACCGAAACGAAGTCTTGATAATTCCACATCCCAGATAGACCCGCTAAAGGCTGTACGCACACATACATACACTGACTGACTTATCCTGCCCAAGCAACTTCTCATCCTCCCAGAATAACTTCATACACAGGTATTGACTTCCTTGGGGTTGCTTCCTCGCCAGTTTTAGTAATTGAATTGTTTGATCCTGAATGGGCTTTGTGTTAACAAAGAGACTGTGTGAAGAAAGAGTGTCTCGCTTCATCCTGGCACTCCGGAGCCTCTGGGGTCTTTGAAGTGCGGCCCTGGCCTCGACACACCAGACAGGAGGATGTTGTTTGGAAAAGGCCAGGCCACCTGTCCTGTCCTGCGGTGACAGTACAGCAGCCACAAAGGAGGTTTGTGTGTGTGTGTGTG